TGGGCTCAAGTGAGTCTCCTGCCTCAGCCTCCCAAATAGCTGGGACCACAGGCACCCGCCACAACGCCAGGCTATTTTTGGGTTGTAGCTTTCATTGTTCTTTGGTGGGCCTGGGCTGGATTTGAACCCGCCATCTTAGGTGTATGTGGCTGGCGCCCTAGCCACTTGAGCCACAGGTGCCAAGCCAATTTTTCTTTTTTTCATTGTTGGGGATTCATTGGGGGTACAAAAACAGGTTACACTGTTTGCATTTGTTAGGTAAAGTCCCTCTTATAATTGTGTCCCACCCCCAAGACATGTGTCACACACCGTGGCTTCCCACCCCCCTCTCTCCATTCTCCCAATCCCCTACCTCCCCACCATGTACTAGCATTAATTGTCCTCATGTCAGGATTGAGTACATTGGATTATTGCTTCTCCATTCTTGTGATGCCTAAATTTTGTCTTTTTAAAATATTTGTTAATTTTCTACTACTTCTCAATGAGTAAGGTAGACTAAATGTCTACTAGTCTATCTCAGTCACCAGATAAGGCCAAAAGAGAACCCAAAACACAAGCACACAAAGAAGAACCATTTCAGGTTATGACTGAGTGTGTTGGTAGAGAGATGGGATTGTGAAAGACTGGTTGGAGGCAGTCAAGTTGTGAGCAGAAGATAGGATTTGTAATGTGACCTGAAGGAAAGGAGGTACCTCTTCACCACTAAATACTTAAACATGTATTTCCTAAAAAGAAGGACATTTTCTTATGTAGTTATGATATATTATTAGCTCATAAATAGTACATATGCAAATTTTTCCATTATCCTATATATCCACTTTATTGCAGCTTTTTCCCCCAGTCTAGAATCCAAGCTAAGATTATATATTACTATTGTTACTTTAGTCTCTTAATCTAGAACAAATTGGCTGCTTTTTTTTTTTCAATGATGTTCGTATTTGTGCAGTTGGACACCATTGTCATGTGGATGTTTGTGGTGATTTTCCTGTGATTAGAATCAGCTAAGTTTGTATATTTTTGCAGATGTTTTTCCAAATATAGTAATGACTTTCTTTTCATTGCAGGTCATCAGTTTGTCTCATCATTGGTTAAGGTCATATTCCCTGGATTATAAAGGAAACATTATAAAGGTATTTATTTTTATTCCTCTTTAAAATAGCATCCAAGGGTGGCACCTATGGCTCAATGGGTAGGGCGCTGGCCCCATATACCGGATTTGAACCTGCCCCCAGTCAAACTGCAACAACAACAACAAAAGTAGCTGGGCATGGTGGTGGGTGCCTGTAGTCCCAGCTACTTGGGAAGCTGAGGCAAGAGAATCGCCTAGGCCCAGGAGTTGGAGGTTGCTGTAAGCTGTGTGATGACATGGCACTCTACTGAGGATGATAAAGTAAAACTCTGTCTCTAAAAATAAAATAAAATAAAATACAATCCTAGCATGATGCTTTGAGACTATGTAAATGCCTTATTTTTCTAATGAATTGTTACCTAATAGTTTTTGCACTTATTTGTGGTCTTGTCTGACCTAATATAATATTGTCATTTTTTTCAAAACGGAACAGATTCTTTGTTTATTTTTTAATTTTTTTTATTAAATTATAGTTGTGTGGGAGTGAGACTCTGTCTCAAAAGGAAAAAAAAAATTGTTTCTCACCCTCAGGAATGATTGTTCCATTAGACCCATCGCTTGTTTCTTAAAGAAATTTAGGGCTCG